ATGCAACAGATTTGACGGTGGTAGTTTTATGGTGAAGGGTGGTATCTGTAGTGACCGCAAAGTGTCTTTGGTAGTCATCGAAGGCATTTTAACAGCTCAACGGTACATAGACTCTGTATTGCAACTTGTCAACGCACCGCATCTTCACCAACACAACCTGACAACACCAGGTGCTATTTAGCGCGACGAGCAATGGGACGAATTTGCAAGACAGCTGTACGGTGTTCGTGCGATCGCCATTAGGAGGAGGAATATATATACACAATGGTATGCAGCAACAGCCTCATTCTGCAGTAGACCTTCATGGGCTCATTCAGTTGTGCAGCGATGATTTCTAGTTGCTTGTCCTTATACTGATTGTCGGTGTATTTCCGATTACTTTTTTGGTAAAACTCTGGATGTTCGCTAAACCACTGCACAAGTATATTCTCTTGCTGTGAAGTAAAGGCATACTTGTCACTCCTGTACAACCACGTGCCTTCTTCATCTGAATCCTGGGTAGGTGGTACCTCGGTTGTCTCGGGTTCAATGGGTGGTCGGGTGGCGCAATGGTAACGCACTGCCTTTCACCTAGCCGACCGGGTTTCGATTCCCGTCACGGACGTGAAAAGGTAAGGGGTCACTTGCGCGACCACGTGGGTTTTCCCCGGGTACTCCAGTTTCCTCCCACAATAAGACCCCTCGCGCGCTTACATCCGGGCCAACAAGAGTGATTAGTATAAGTTGACATAACTTGCTTCGCAATTGTTGTAAAATAAATAATGGGAGGTTCAGCAACCGGAACCTTCCCCTTTCCATTCTGAAGTCTTTGTTTTGGATAAATGACCTTCTCTTCCTGAAATCTCGACAGCGACTGATGTCAAACAAGACAGACAAACATTTTAAAATAGGAGGGATGATGCTTTTCGCAAGGCATTTGCGGGGCAGCCATGCGAATCTATATGTTGTTCGTACGTTCCGCAGCAGTCTTTAGACACACTTTCACCTGACGCAAGACATTCGCAAGTCAGCCGCAAGATATTCTTACGATCACCGTGCAGCCTTCGCAAGACAAACGCAAGTATAAAATCATACGATTGACGTGCGATGGTCTCAAGGTAGCCGAACGGCTGCCGTGTGGCAACCGTACAGGTGCCGTGCGAACTCCAAAAATCGCAAAGAAATCGGTAAGAAAATGAGCTTGTTGAAAAACCAGCTCGCAAGAAGTCCTGCGATTTGTCAAAAAAAATTTCCGTACGGCTGTCGTAAGGCTGATGTGAAACAGGCTTTATGAACAGGGGCATTGTCTGGTAAAACAAGACACCTTTACGGAGTTTTCCGGAACGTTAGATTTTCATATTTACTCTTAAACGGCAGGATCTTTTTGCAATATGAAGCGGGGAGTGCTTGATTCTCATTTTCTTGTTGGTTCCGTTGTTGTATGCCTTGTTCTCATTTGAGAACATGACATTACTTACATGTAATGACCATGGTTTACATGGCAGGTGTCGTCAAAGAAGCAGAAGACGCTTACACTTCCGGAACACCTGGTATTGTTTTTCTCATTTCTCAAGAGTGTCTGTGTAAATCTTCCGTTTGTTTGATTGATTTTGAGTTTGGATTATGATAAAATGGATATCTTGGTATTTTCTTTTAGTTTGTTACAGTATTCAGTATCTTACTGTTTTTATAATTTTACTTGAGATTTTTTCTTCAGCAAAGGAAAAGGAAAAGTCACCGGCACCTAGGGTATGGGAATGGAATTAGTGATCAATCTATACTATTTTATCCTGTAGCTCGATATTGTTATTTCAAGAGTATTTCAACATTTCTATACACTCCGTTTTCCCTTAATTCCAGATATCTTAATGTTCCTTTTACTTTGTATTTATCTTGCAAACAGCATAAAGGTAATCTTTTTAACCAATGTTTTAAAAACAGCAATAACTCATTTTTGATGCTGAAACAAGTGGTCTGCATGGACGTGTTTCCTTAATTCAATTTTACCATTTTTAAATGTACAAACTCCCCTTAAAACAGTTTTTATATGAATCCTTGTATCTAATTCTAAACTTGTGTCAATAGTTGCGATTCATCTGTTTGTATTTCTTATAAAGCCTTCAATAGAGATATATACACTGCATACCCCCGTATTTATTTGTATTGGATGTATATGTACAGCATAGCTACTTTTGACACGGTGCTTGTTTCAAATTTACTTCCTGCCTTCAATCAGGAGTGTATACTATTCTTCAATGTTTTATTTCGATTCCTATCGGGCTGTGTTAACATTTTACACATCCATTGTTACTTAAAGCCTTTTATATCTGCTATGGCGCAGGGCTATTGTATTGTCCTGTGTATTGTATTGTGTATTGTATTGCGTGTTGTGTATTGTATTATGTATTGTGTATTGTATTGTGTGCTGTGTATTGTATTATGTATTGTGTATTGTATTGTGTGCTGTGTATTATATTGTGTATTGTATTGTGTGCTGTGTATTGTATTGTGTATTGTATTGTGTGCTGTGTATTGTATTGTGTATTGTGTGTTGAATTGTGTGCTGTGTATTGTATTGTGTATTGTGTGTTGTATTGTGTGCTGTGTATTGTATTGTGTATTGTGTGTTGTATTGTGTATTGTATTGTGTGCTGTGTATTGTATTGTGTATTGTATTGTGTGCTGTGTATTGTATTGTGTATTGTGTGTTGTATTGTGTGTTGTGTATTGTATTGTGTATTGTGTGTTGTATTGTGTATTGTATTGTGTGCTGTGTATTGTATTGTGTATTGTGTGTTGTATTGTGTGTTGTGTATTGTATTGTGTATTGTGTGTTGTATTGTGTGCTGTGTATTTTATTGTGTATTGTATTATTTGCTGTGTATTGTATTGTGTATTTTGTGTTGTATTGTGTATTGTATTGTGTAATGTATTGTGTATTGTATTGTATTGTATTGTGTGTTGTATTGTGCATTGTATTGCGTGTTGTCTTGTGTATTGTATTGTGTGCTGTGTATTGTATTGTGTGTTGTATTGTGTGTTGTATTGTGTATTGTATTGTGTATTGTATTTTGTATTGTGTATTGTGTGTTGTATTGTGTATTGTTGTGTATTGTTGTGTATTGTATTGTGTATTGTGTTGTATTGTGTATTGTTTTGTGTATTGTATTGTGTATTGCGTGTTGTATTGTGTGTTGTATTGTGCATTGTATTGCGTGTTGTCTTGTGTATTGTATTGTGTGCTGTGTATTGTATTGTGTGTTGTATTGTGTGTTGTATTGTGTATTGTATTGTGTATTGTATTTTGTATTGTGTATTGTGTGTTGTATTGTGTATTGTTTTGTATTGTTGTGTATTGTATTGTGTAGTGTTGTGTATTGTATTGTGTATTGTATTGTGTATTATATTGTGTTGTATTGTATTGTGTTGTATTATATTGTGTTGTGTTTTATTGTATTGTATTGTGTATTGTATTGTGTTGTATTGTGTTGTATTTTATTGTATTGTATTGTATTGTATTTGATTGTATTGTATTGTATTTGATTGTATTGTATTGTATTGTATTGTATTGTAAGGAAGTCGTGTAGCGACAATTTATTGAATGATCCTCGAAGTTCCAGTTACATGTAATAAAGTATTGTAACGCACTCATCTTTGTTCTAGAAGACCAGGGTTGAATTCCCCGTAAACCACACACGTTTTGCACTCTAGCCACTGTGCGTATGTAAATTATATATATATATGTATATATTTTACATATACGCTCAGTGGCTAGATATATATATGCATTTAACTGTTGGTTTTCATATATAAAAAAAATCTTTTATTGTAATTATACATACGTTCATTATTTTTTACAACAAACTTTTTCAATTTTTATCAAACAATTCGTTTTTAGAGTGGGGCCGAGATGTACCGGTAAACTGCTTTCCTCAGAATGTGACACAATTTCTTTTTCTTTGCGACCACATTTACGTTAAGTGGCTACAGTGCACAACGTACCGAGATTTATATCAAACGTTTTGACATTTAAATCATCATATTTCATACAACTTAGGATTGTTTTTGTCCGTTCTAAAGGGCCTTAGGCGTTAATCGGCCGAAGGGATTATCGAGACATCTAAATTTACACTACAGTTCTCGATTTTAGTTGAGTTTTATGTTCTATGTATGTGATTTAATTTATGTAATATTTGTGTCTTGATAATGGCGCAGGTTGTCTTGAAAATTTGATAATTCACTTGTCCGTACTGTCATTATTACTTCATTGATTATATCTATATTATATGAGGTGTATATTCTGTACACAAAATTTGTATTATTATATAAACATGTTTATTACATGGCATCTTAATGTCTCCATACTAAGGAGACATTTTAACGACAAATATCCAAATAACTTCTGATGGATAGACAAGGTCAAATGACATGAAAGAATTGTCTATACATTGAGGAAACATTTTGCTGGTAAGGAATAGACACCTTTGATTTACTGTTTTACATGTACATTTCTAAATTTAATTAGGAGCAGTTGAGTTGCAACATTATTTAATTTTGATTTGAAATTTTAAAAAAAAAGAAAAAACACATTCAATATTGTCTTATCGACCACGTTACACGTTGGATCTATATGATTCAACTCAACACGAATCACACATCACCTTGATTTGTTCAAATTTTTATTTTTTGAAGCCTTCAAAGCACTTAATATCAACGAGAAAATCAAACACATTCTCGCGAACACGCCAAGAAAAATGAAAAAAAAAAGAAACAAAATATTTTTAAATGTGATATTGTGGATGTAAAACAAAGATATTTATGACAAATCTTTTGTTCCTTTGTGATATGAACATGTGATTGTAAGACAGACGAGAAAACACACGTTCTGGTGCACTCGTCCAAATTTACAAGATGCCAATCAATTCAACACAAAAGAAGTGGGAGTGTCTTATGAATATGTATCCTACTTTCGATATGATATAAATTGGTGCAGGAAAGTCGTGGAGTGTCAGCTTCTCATCATGGCTTCTTCTTGTGTTCTGCTCTTCGTGGCATTTATGCTGTGTGGTGTAGAATGTGCCTCCCACTCAAGACATAAGCCATCGGGAAAGGATGATGACGGCTGGAGCAACTGTCCCAACATTGATGGTTTCTTCAGCTACGATCCCAGCTCACCATGTGGTAAGACATTTTAATTTCAATGACATCAAACGTTATTCTGAGAAATAAATGTGTATTTTAGCATAATACATTGTGATGAAATCACTAGAATAATAGTTTATATATATCTTATTTGAAAATTGACACAAGAGTCAGCGTAATTAGACAGTTATCAACTGACTCATTATTAATATTTAATTTATTTCCTCTAATTATCAAGAATTATAGCATAACATAAAAATGAACATGATTACATTTCAAACGACGTCGAAACACACATACACAGACTTACACATATACACAGACTTACACACATACAGACTTACACACATAAAAAGACTTACACACATATAGCAACATTTTTTTGAAGTTCATACAAAGTAAACATAAAAAGTACACGTTATTCCATGCAACGCTGTATCATATAATGATTGTAAGATTCACGTTCGTTGGAAATAATTAACGAAGCATTAGTCAGATAATATATTATAATCATAGTATGATGTAATCGGCATTGAACGGTTTTAAAACTCATTAAACTACAGGTGACATGATGCTAAATTAAATGTTTTCGCGTTAAAAAAAAACTTATTTTATACGAGAAGATCGTGTTTTAATTAGTATTTAGACGTGTGTGACCATTCAAGTACACTATGAATGAAGATATCTTTGTAGTTTTTCACTTCGCTAATTTACACACTTAATTTAACAATTTTCTTGAAATTAAATTTGTATTGTGGAAAATGTTGGAACAGCTTCCAAAATGTATACGGATGTGAAGTCGCAATTTGAGTACATTTTTTTCACATAGTTTAGTCTCTTGGTATCGTTTAACATGGCTATTGATTAAAATTTTACATTGAGATGTGTTTGGGAATATACCATTCTTTATGAATTCATCAATGACATAGTAAAATTGGCATTTTTATAGAATATCAACAATGTCAGACAGACAAGACAAACGGAATTCGAATAAACATTTGATAAAAATCTCAACGTCCATCGCACATATTCTACCGAGAAATAACATTTTCCTTATTCAGTTGAAAACCAACCGATTAGAAATGTATACACTTGATCATTTTAACTGTAGTTAAGGGATTGGAAGCATATGCATTTGATGCAGAACGAATCTTTGACATTACGCATTGCATGTTGTATACTTTCCACAATTGGTAATTTCGATCCAAAAAAGAATTAAATCACAAGTTAACAAGTTTGATTTTCAGATGTAAAACCAGCCATCATAAATTTATGAAAAGAAAATAAAAATAGAGAATAAATACTGTAAATTGTAAACGTTATTGCTGAAAAAAACACATGTGACATCGATTTGTATATATTGGCACGCGAGTTTACTGCTACTAATCCGTTTCCGCTAAAATGAACATCATTTAGCAAATAATTAATGAAAAAAATATACAATACAGAAAAGGACCCGCCCTGTTAAATCCATGGTTTCATAGTTACAGCTTCTGACTTGAAACAGCACGACTGGTCAAGAGAGAATACATTTGTTTCATAACATTCTATATTCTCCCCGTATTACCAATCCCATAAAGCTTAAAGAATATGCTGTCTTACCATACAGAATCCAAGGTTTCGTTGCTATCTAGGAAGGCAACACACACTTCGGATGCAGGATCTAAATTATAATTGAAGTACAAAAGCTGTATTTTTCAAATATATGCTGACTGGTGCCTGTTTGAAAATGTGTTTGTAAGACTGTAGACAACAATGACTCAGAAATCTTGACGAGTATAGAATTTATAGGATATATAGCTGTTTAGGTCTTCTTTGGGTGTTTATTACCTTTGTACAAAGTGATTAATGTTCCCAATTTCAATGTCTTTGAAACATATCCATTCTTATCAATGAGATTAAACAAATGTACGTTATGTGTTACTAGTAAGTTGTTACAATATCTAACGCATTGGTAACCAAGACTATCAAGACCATTGGAATTTTTGTTGTCTTAAGACCTCTACATAGAGAAAATACTACTCAAAAAGAGATTTCATTTTCTAGAAAAATATATTTTATCTTTGTCCTCAGTGCTCAAAATTTCATCTTGAACTTGATCACACGTGTCTTCATAGAATATTTCGTTACTTTCATTTTCAATCGAAATGAATCAAACACCATGGACAAGTCTTACAATACTTGAGTAACCGGAATAGACAAAGGCATAGACATAAAAAAATAGAAATTGTATTCTCTTAGCCTATGTTCGAATAGTTCGTAAACATCCAGGTACAATCTCTGAGACACTTAAACAGGTAGTGTGTACCTGATATGATTCCTTCAGTGTTCCGTCATGTGGTAAAATCATCTCTTGGAAGTCATTGACGATTATTAATA